TGCTCTATTCTTCAGGCCAACCTGGGCCTAATGCAGGGCTTCCTGTCTAGGACGGGAGACAGACCGCAAGGGCTGGAGGGGACCTGGGTGGCACTGCCGTTAGCTGACAGGACGTTTACTCAGCCAGCAGTCCCTTCTCCATCCTGGCGGCAGGACGTCTGTATAGGGAGACATGCACACAATTACACCGTGAGCAGGGTGCATCTTCACAGCGTGAGGGGATGCAGCCCTCCGGCTCCTTGCCCTCCTAAGATGACCATGGTCCATGGCTTGGGGGATGCTTCCAGAAGTGGAGTGTGCTCAGCCACAGAGCCAGCCCCCTTTTAGACAGTTCACGAATGGGATGCGTAGTCTTGCTCCCCCAACCGCGTTAGCCTAATTATAGATCTTGGAGAACTTGACACAGCAGCACAAATTAGAGCTACCTCATTCTTTGGAATGGCAACAAAATCTTGCGCTTAAAATAAATAACTACCCAGTTGAGGGAGTTTCGTTTTCAGTTTCTTGCTATCACAACGATAAATATCTTTGTCCACGTATTTTTGTATACTTGTTTGCGTGTATCCATAGGATACATTCCTAGCAGAGGAACTGCTTGGGCAAACTCATGGCATTTTAAAATTTGATTCTTGCCAAACCAACTTACTGCCATCATTGGTATGAGGGGGCTCGAACAAACTTGGGAAGACTGGATATTATTAAACAAAACAAAACCACACAACCAATCTCCCCAACTTATTCTATGAGACCAGTGAAAGTGACACAAAGCCTGAAAATGAGAGTATGAGAAAAGAAAATTACAGGACAGCCTTACTAATAAACATATACCTAAAACTCCTAAAGAAAATATTAGCAATCCGAAGCCAATAGTGTAGAAACAAGGCAATACAGCATGACCAAATGGGTTATTAATGTTATCCATCCCATTTACAAATTATTGGGGGGGAAACATGTGATCATATCAATAAAGAAGAAACAGTTGATAAAAAAAATAAACATTTATCCCTGATTAAAAATGAAAACTAGAAATAGAAGACATCTTCTTTAACCTGAAAAAGAGTATTTTTCCAATATCTATAGCTAAAATTATACTCAAGGTGAATTACCTTTAAAACCAAGAATAAGCCAAGATTTGTGCTTATCACCATGGTACCAGAGCTTCTAGTCAGTGCAGTAGGATAAGGAAGAAAAAAAGGTTTAGTTATTTGAATGGAAGAAATAAAACCTATTCATAATCAATATAATTGCTTAGGTAGAAAAACTCCAAAAAGTCCTCAGATCACCTCTTAGAATAAGAAAGGCAGCTTCGTAAGTTTGCTGGATCAATATTCAAAAATAAATTACATTTATACATACAACAAAGAGTTATAAGTATTAATTATAATAACAAGCGTAAGAGACTTAAGCATAATATAATGAAAGATCTGCAAAACCTCTATAGACTAAAGAATAAAACTGTATTGGAAGACATTAATGATCCAAATAAAATATGTTCATGGATCAGGACACTGAATATCATAACAGTTTCAATTCTCCCCAAGTGGATCTACAGATTTAATACAAGGCCAATAAAAACCTCAACAGAGATTTTCATAACACTTGGTAAATTGTTTCTGAAATGCATATGAAAACTAAGTTCCAAGAATAAGCATGGCACTGCTGGGGAAAATCAAAGCAGCAGACTTGTACTACCAGATGTCAAGACTCATTTAAGTGTGCTTATGACTCAAAGGATAAACCCATTAGGACAGAATAGAAAGCCCAGAAAGAGACTTTCCACCTATGGAAACGTGCATATTCCATTCAACGCACATGGAAACAGGTACACTGCAGCTCGCTGGGGAAAGAAAAAAAGTAAACCAAAACCAAAGCAGGTGGTTGTCCCTACCTCACACCACACCAGAGAGCAAATTCCAAGGGATTTTTAAATGTAACATACAAAACTTTAAAAAGATTAGAATATATGGAAATGTCTCTTTAACCTTGGAATAAGAAAGATTTCTGAAACAAGATGCAAAAAGCTCTAACCGTAAAGAAAAATGAGATGGATAAATTTGACTACATTAAAATAAATAATTTCTTCTCACCAAGGAAATCACAAAGAAAGAGAGAAGACAAGTCACAAATGTGGGTAAGATATTTCCATACATCACTGACAAAATATATAAAGATTATATAAAATATATAAATATATAAATATACAAAGAACGACCAGTCAATAATAAGAAAATGAAGCATCCAATGGAAAAATAGGTCAAGGAGCACAAATAAGAGTTTTATAGAAAAGGAAATTTGAGGTAATACACATAGGAAACTTGCCCTACTTTCCTCAGGAAAATGCAAATTAGACCCATAACAAAACACCATTTTACTCTCAATCCTTTGGCAAAAAAAAAATTAATAATAATAATCCAAAGGATTGTTAATATTCAGTGCTGGCAAGGATGTAGAGCAAGAATGCCTAGGCAACCCAGGTGGGAGTGCCTATTGGTCCAACTCCTTATAGGCAACAATCTGGTAGAATTTGGTAAGTTGAACATTTGCATTCTATGTGACCCAATGACTCCATTTCTAGGCGTATGTACAAGAGAAACCCTCACGCAGGTGAGAAACCCTCATGCAGGTGCACCAGGAGCCTCGTAAAAGAAATGCTAACTAAAGCATTGTGAGAGCTAAAATTCAGAAAGAACCCAAATATTCATTGTCAGGAAGCTAGGTAGTTCAGTTGTATATTCACGTAACTGACTGATCTACACAGTAGCACAAACGAATTAAGTAATATTATAGGCAACAAACATGAATCTTAGAAATATACGATTGAGGGGGAAAGTTAGAGAATGCTACATGTATTTTATTCCTATTTTTATAATATTCAAAGCCAAGCAAAACTACACTAGGGATTCATGGATACATGGAGGAATTAGAAAGCGTACCAGAGAAAGTCAGGGTAGGAGTTATAATTAGCCTGGACTGGATAATCTAAGGAGATTGGCTAATATATGGGAAGCCGACATATTTTCATGATCTCGATTGGATCTAAGAAGAGATGCTTCTTTAATGTCCCTCTAGGGTATAGATGTGGGGGGATGGAAGGGAGGGGCTGGAGGGATGTGGGGGTTTCTGAACATGGGAGCCAACATTTCTCACACCCTTGAGCATTGCATGCTTCTCCCCACATCTAGAGAGAGTCTCCTTCCCTTTCACTTAAATCAGGGCTGTTTTTGTGACTTGCTTTGATCAGGAATGCAATGAAGTAACGTTCTGGAACGTTGATTTCGAGCCTTCAGAGGACGGGCAGTCTGGGCTTCCCCCCTCGGAGGTCGGTTGCGGAGCCGTCAGGAAGTCCGGGCTGAGTTACGGGTGTAGGTGGAGAGGGGCGGGGCCGCCTGGAGCGCCCGCCCAGTCCTCTCCCAGCTGAATGCAAAGCAGGAGGGAGCAGCCAGCCCGCAAGTGCTAGAATCATCCGTCACGCCCAGAACACACTCATCCTGCAGAATCAGGAATAAGAAGAAACTGCTGTTGGGCCATTAAGTTCTGGGGTGGCTTGTTACCCAGCAACAAAGGGCGAGATGCGTGCAAGGAATTCAGTGGTAGTGGCTGCCTTTTGCTTCCTGAGTTAGCAGGTGGGTTTCCAGATGCACCTTGTACTTCATAACTCACATACGACTGATTTACATGTGATATGTTGTATACTTTAAAATGCACAAACCCTCCCTGCAAAAATGCATCTCCTCAGTTTTGTTTTGCATTTTCTGTGGAACTAGTTTAGCAATGATCCATTTGTATTTCTCTGTGAACTGCCTGTTTACATTCTTTGCCTCTTTATTGGGTTGTTCATTTTTCATATTAAGAACTTTGCATGTTATGTCCTGTTTCAAAAACATCTTCCCCAGTTTGTAGCTTATAAATCTTTTGACTTGGAATTTTACTGTATATAAATTAGAATTTTTCATAGTCAAAGTTACTGGTGGATGCCACGCTTAGAATGGTCTTTCTGCGTCTAAGCTTATCTTTTAAATCCTCTCATGATTTCATTTCATACTTAAAACCTTTGATCTGATCCATTTAGGGTTTTGTTACAAGGACGCAGGATCCAGGTTAATATTTATCAAATATTTTACCCAGTTGTTCCATTAAAGAGAACCCGCCCGTCCCCCACTAAATTTCCTTAAGTCAACTGCTGGGCCCCCATCCCATCCCGCTGACCATCCCCTTTGCTACCCCCCGACTCTAATTATGGAAGTTTATAATGGTTAACACCTGGCGGCGATTCCCCACGTGCACGTTCCTAAAAGAACTGAACGTGTCAAGTTCAAAGAGCAAATGCTGCTGGCCATTTTAATAGCGACTGCACTGCATTTAGATGGACGTTTTTGCAAGATTGAGAACAGGGTGTGTCTGCACTGAGCCTTTCCCCTCCCTCACAGGATTACTGGGATTCCTGTGACCAGGACTGAAGGCCCAGGCACCTGTCCTCATCCCTGGGGCGGGACCCAGGGGGCCGAGGGTGGCTCTCTCTTCCTTCTGCAGAACGTGGCCCTGATTTGTGCCAGGCCTCAGCTCTGATCCCTCAACATGGCTACTTAATGCCCAGAAACTGTGGAGAACACAATGCCGTCCTCGTGCTTAAGGACAAGCAGCAGTGATGTCATCTCCTGTATATTACGCACAGGGGTGGTTTGTAGGCACCTGAAAGCAGCAAGACCTTGGACAAGTCGGGGCCCTTCCCTTCTCCCTCTCCTGTAAAATGCGAGTCTACCTGGCTCCTGACGGGGCCTCGGTCCTCGACTGGCCCAGGGATCAGGCCCCCCGCCCCCGCCCCCTGCTGCAGCGAGGCCTGCTGGCTCCCCCCCCGCCCCCCCCTGCCTGCTCCCCGCTCCCCGCACCCCCTCCCACTCGGCTCAGGCACACAAGATGCAGCGCCGCTGCCCTGCTTCCGCCCCCACCTGCCACTTTCCAGTCAAAGTCAGAAGTCAAAGATTTTTATTATTCTACAGACACTTCTGAAAAGAGATCTAATTGAGAAAAATATACAAAGCGTTTAAGAGTTTCGTCTCCAGGAGCACCTGGGCCTAGCTGGAGGTGTCGAAGCCTTCCTCTTCAAGGCTCAGGGCTCAGGACGGTTAGCATATTGAAGGAGCAGTAAAAACATGCAAAAGTGAGTGGGGAAAGGAAAAATGGTGCGTTCCCCCACAGCAGAGGGGGATGGAGGTTCAGAACAAAGAGGAGGCAGGGTGTGCAAGTACCAGGCGGCTCTCCCCTCCGTATCCTCTCTAAACCGGCTCTAAGCTCGGAGGAAGCAAGGAGCCCCCGCCCGCTCAGCAGGACCCCAGCCCAGGTCTGGGCAGTGCTGTGCTCAGCCCGGCAGGGACGGGGGCCAGTCCTCCTGGCCCTCTTCCAGGAGGCTGTGGCTGCCAGGCTCCGCGTGTGCTCCTGGGGGCCAGGCTGGGGGCCCGGGCTCCTCCCTCTTTGGTTCCACTCAGAAAGCGATTGTGCTTGACGAACTCATCCCCACCCCCCAAGCTCCAGGCTCCCTCTGTGGGCGGAAGGCACTGCCGGGAGTCCTGGGAGACCCCCCCTTTCCCCCCCGACAGCCACCTTGCCTTGTGCTCTGGGTGGGTCCACCCCTGGGCACAGACCCCATCCTCAGCCGCACCGGGGAATGGGGACATGAGAGGAAGTGTGCCATCCCCTGCAAAAAGCCTATGGGACTTTCCCAACGGTGCGGACAGTTCCGAATCCCCTCTACACCCTTCCCCCCACCCCGTCTCCTAGCCCAGGACTCCCATGTGCCCAGCCCCTTAGTCCGGCACTTCCCGTGGGTTGCCGGCACAGCTGTGGGCCGGTCCACAGCGGAGCGAACTTCCAGGCGGTGGCCACAGAAACCACCCTGGGGCGCCCTCTCTGTCCCCAGGCCCGTTGTCAGCAGCGGCGGGGCCTCCAGAGGCCTCGGCTCTGGTACAGGGAGGTGGGCAGGGCTGGAGAGGGACGGGAGACATGTCACATCTATGGAATGGCATCCGAAGTACAAGCTACATGAGGGGAAGGAGGCAGGGCAGAGAGTGGCAGGAAGAGAAAAGAGGGGAGGCGGGGTGGGGCCAGGCGCCGCGGAGGCCTCACGCGGCCCTGCAGATGAGCGTCTCCACCACGAAGGTGTTCTCGAAGTGGCGGATGGCGTTGCAGTTCTGGGCCCCACGCTTGTTGATCCCTGGAGGGGACAGAGAGATCCCAGTGAGGCCTGTGTCCTGGCCCAGAACTGGCGGGGCCACAACGGCCACCAGCCTCAGAGCCGGGGGCAGGGAGGACGCCCAGGAAAACAAACCCAGATTCTACCAGGGTCAGTGCAGTGAAAGGCTGAGAGCTCAGGAGCTGGCGTCAGAAGGCCTGGCTCCGCCTCCCTCTGCTGTGTGACTTTAGAGGTGCTAATTAATGTCTCTGTGCCTCAGCTTCCTCACCTTTAAAAAGGGCAGCAATAACGACGATGATGATAACTTAAAATTTTTAAGGACGTAAAGAGAGTAAAAGGGTGCGTGGCATGTCGTTAAGTGCTCAATTAACATCAGCTGTTATTGCTGCTGCTTTCGGAGCCCTCAGGGCCAGGTCTCCAGCTCTGGGGCCAGGCACAGCTGGGCGCTGCTGTGGTCTGGAGGGTGGGGCGGGGGCCACTCACGCCTCCGAGCCGCCCGGCGCCGCAGCCGGTAGGTGTCCTTCCCATTGCACAGGTGGTAGATGAAGGAGCCCAGGGCCTCCTTGTCGTTGACGTGCTCTGTGACCACCATCTCCTCCTGGATGATATACGTCTGCGGCAGGTAGGTTCCTCTCTGCAACGGGGTGGCCACGGTGCTGGTCAGGGCCTGGGCCTCCCCTCCCATGGTCTCCACTAGCTCACTGCCCACCCCCTCGTCCCCATCCTTCTGCTCACTCGAGCTGTGTCCCCCCAACGCTGAAATGCACACATGCCCCCTCCTCCTGCAGAGTCCCCAGAGCCTGGCCTCCTGATGTCCCCAGGCACTTCCTGCCGTGCCAGAGTGACACCTGCACTGCCCTGAACCCTGCATCCTGTGTGTGGGGAGCCTGGTCTCCCACCCTTAGGGTAGGGCCTCTGTCACTCCCTGCACTGTGGACCGGGGCATGGGCCCGGCAGTGGACAAGATGCTGCCAAGACCACCGCGTACCTTCACGTTCATGAGGAGCTCCCAGAAGTTGCGAGGAGGCAGTACGATGGTGGTGTTGAGCTCGATGACGTAGCACTTGTCCAGGGAGATGTCGTGGTAGGCGGTCAGACCCTGGGAAGGAGGGGGTCATGTCAGACCCTGTGGGCGAGGGTATGGCCCAGGCAGGGCTGTGAGAGGCCTTCCGCCCGAGGCAGGGGCCCCTGGCGGCCACGACGGTGCACCCCACCGCCCTGAACACCCAGGCGGCCCTCCCTTCTTCTGCTCCTCTCGGGGCCTGGGTTTTTAGAAGATTCCATGGACTAGATGGAAAGACACCAGCTATGCCTTGGGTGTCAACAAGAGTCCTTCTCATGGGGCTACAGGGGTGAGGTTTGGGGAAAACAGTAATGTCCCCACTGTGCCTTTCATCAAAGCCAGGAGGTCCCTCTCTGTGGACCGTCAGCGAGAAGCGCCCCAAGCCAGGCCCTCTCTGTGCTACGTACACCTCGATAAAACGTCGACACAGCAATACTGTGAGAGAAAGGGACACCGGCTTGACCCAGGACAGCCAGCGTCTGCAGCTGTCCTTCGCGTACTCACAACAGTAAACTTACTCTTCCCTTACCCTGTATGACGAAATCAATGTCTTCAAAACCCTCAACCAAGCTAAACCCTAGCCATGTCCTGCATGCAGTTGATATAACTCTAGGTATCGTGACAGGATGTACAAAGGACATCAACATTCTCCTTTCACGCCTGTTCCTTCTCTTGACTCCTGGTGGAAGGGCAGCTGCGGGCCCTGGCCCGCCCTCTCCCCGCCCCGACCCGGCCGCGGCCGGCCTCACCCGCTGGAAGTCATGGATGATGTCTGCAGGGTCACCGCCCCCGAACTGGGGCACAGGCACGTTGATGCGCTCGTAGTTGTCTTCGAGGTAAATCTTCACGTCCTCCTCCAGCTCCATCCGGGTGTGGGCCTGGGAGGACAGGGAGTCCTCGTAGAAGACGCCGCAGTGGAAGAAGTTGTCTCGGGCGAGCTGCGCAAGGCGGTGAGAGAGACAGGCTGGTCACACGGTGCCCTGGGCACAGCCACTGCTGCCTGCCCAGCCACGTCCCGCTCCCAAGGCCTGGGCACGCAGGAAGCGTGGGGCTGAGACCCACTTCACGTTTGGAGAAACTGAGCACCGTGGGGGGTCAAGGGGGTGAGCCGGCACCGCCACTGCCTGGGCAGACGACCTCGCTGGGCCTCTGTCTCCCCATCTGTAAATGAGGTGCTCCCTCAGGCTTCTTCTGACCTCCCAGTCCATAAGTCTGCGCTTGGGAAATGGGGGACCAGCAGGTGGAGGATCTAGAGGGACAGACACCCAAGAAAGGGCCCTGGGTGGGTGGGAGGGTCCTCAGGGGACAACACAGGAGCTTGGACAGGACAAGCTGGGGCCTGGACGTGGTTGGCGCCCCCCCCCCACCACAAGGTGCTTACCCCTCTTTTCTGCCCCCCATTGTGGGGCCCTGCAGACCTTGGGGAAAAGGGGGTGGGGGAAGAACTGAGAGGCAGCCCTTGCGATTCCAGCTGGTGCCCAACCTCAGGCAGACCACCCCGCCGCCTTCCCTGGACCCGAGGCATCACGGGAAACCTTGCAAACGCTGTGCCCCCTGTCTGGGTTGCCAGCCTGATCTCTCCGTCAGGAAGGGAAGGGAAGCAGTGTGAGTGGACGGAGACCAAGGGAGCAACCGGTGGGCCAGTGGGCCCACTCGTACTCCTCGGGGGGGTCCTCCACCTGTGCCCACACCGCGGGCCTGAACGGGGCAGGACCCCGCTTTGTCTCTGTGCAGGCTCCCAGCGTGAGTCATCCCACGGGCCCAGGCCCAGAGGCTGCTCGGGGCGCCCCGTCCCCAGGAATCGTGGTGGGTGAGGAACCCCGGGGTGTGAGTGGGGGCTGGGAACAGAGGGGACCGGAAGCCACAGTAGGATGAGGGAAGGGCTGTGGCCATAGGAAAGTGAAAACCTGCAACAAGTGGGGAGCAGGCCACGGGTGGGGAGGGAAGGGAGGACCAAGGAAAGCCAGCAGGCTCCCAGGGGGAAGTTCCAGGGACTGTAAACTCTTCCGTGATTTCCACCGTGGGGGGTGGGGTGGGATGACAAGGCCAAAGCCCGAAGCGTGACAGTGGAAGAGGCCCCTTGGGTCGTAAATGACTGGCAATTCACAGCCTTCCGGTCCCTCCGAGATTCCCCGTTGCATGGAGGGTTCTTCTTCTGAGCTACCTTTAATTTAACTACTTTCAGTTCTGAGAACGTGGAGGCACTGCCTCCCTCCCAGGTCTGGGTTGATCACAAGACTGCGGGGGCCACGGATGGTCCTCTGGGCCTGGCTTCCTGCCGGACGGGCTGCGGGAGCGGCGGCTGGGGGCACGACCGCAGCCGGGGCCTCCTTCCCAGGAGGCCAGGGTGAGTGTCCATAAACCCACGCTCTGCCTGCCTGTCTTGTTTTATATCCCCACAACCAAACACGAAATGGGATTCCTCAGAGCATGACCCACAGGCACGAGGTTCGGACTCGGAAGGGATCGCAGAGCTCAGATTTCCGCTGTGTCTGGGTTCCTGGTGATAGCGGCCCAGGGTGACGCTGTGGGAAGGGGCTGCGAGCCACACAGGCCCCGATTCCAACCCTTGCTCCCCTGCCGTGACTGTGCCCCTGGGAGGGTTCCCTGATGACCTCAGGTGTGTCTGAGGAAACGCGGAGAACCCTCATCCAGGGTCCGTGGGTGTTAGGGACGCCCCTCCCCCCATCCTGGCTTCTGGACCAGAGCCAGGGCGGGGCTCCTCAGACAAGTGGCTGGGGGTGGGCTGGCCTGGGCCCAAGGAGGCCCAGGGAGGAGGGGGGATGCGGGTGTTCTGGGCTGGCCTGGGTACTCCCCCACGGGGGGTGGCACAGCCAGGGCTTTCTCCTGCCCCTCCTCACAAGCCCCTGGATCTCAGCGGCTCCTGCTGCCCCTCCCGCCAGCTCCTACACCCTCTGCAGACTCGACGCTTCCCTCTGTTCCTCTTCCAATGCTCCCCTTTCTCTGAGACGCTGCCTCCCCCCCTTGGCCCGGCCTCACCTGGGCGAGGAAGAAGTATCTGTAGATGTAGACGGAGGCGAACACGAGCCCCATGAGCAGCACCACCATGCCCATCGACAGGTAGCACACGCTGCCAACAGAGCCCCCCTTCTTGTGGCGGTGGTGGGGGGGCCGCTCCTCCTGTGGACAGCAGTGCGGGGTCAGTGCAGGGTCCTGCACCCTGGAAGCCTCCCACCCTCCTCTCCGAAGCGAGACCTCACCCCGCTGGCTGGGAGGGAGCCCTGGGGGCAGGGAGGGAAGGGCGGCGCTCGGGTACGGGGAGCATTATCCGGACGGAAGAACGCGGCAGGCTCTCCTCAGCTCCTGGGTACACAGAGAGCTATGTGGGCCAAGCCTCGTAAGATGGCCCACGGGGGCTCAGCAGGTGTGTCTGGAACCACCCCAGCCTGGAGGCCCCTTCAGGAGGGCCGCTGTGACCACGGTGTATTCTTTCAAACAAAGGGGGAGGGGCACACACATGGCCTGAGTGATTGAGCCAGGCCTAATCACCTATAAGAATTGGGGTGCTCTGGGCTTTTGAGGTGGGAGTGACAAGATTCCCCTGAAGTCTGGAGTCCACAGGGCACGCTGGAATGGGGGCAGTGGGAAGGGGCTGTGGCAGGGAGTGGTCACTGCCTGAGGGGACAGGGGCCCCAAGGGGCCCACAGGCCTGGGCACGGCTGCCCGTCTCAGTCCCTCCAGGCAGCATGGGGTCCGAGATGCAGGCCGGCAGAGCCCAGCCCCTCGGGGCGGCGCTCTGCCCCTCGGGGTGGCGACAGCCTCACACAGGCCCTGGCTGGGAGCATAGGGCACGTTGTCTGGAGCGGAGCCAGCAGGGTGAGGTCCTGAGGCTCCCGGAAGCCAGGGCACTTGTGCCCAGAGGGAAGCGTGGCTGTGGTGGCAGCGGCTGTCGCCAGGGAGGCCAGGCAGGAGGCTCCTGGTGAAAACCTGCTCTGGGAGCCAGAGCTGGGCTCAGGGCCGCAGTTGCAGGGCTGCCAAGAAGAGGCAAGGTGGCCTCCAGGCCACCGGCGCCTGGCGGGGCGAGGGTACTATGTGTATACACCACCGTCACACGGCTTTACTGGGACTGCGCAGCCCGCGACTCAGTCTCAGCCAGCTGTGTGGCCTCTGTCACCTCCCATCTTTACGCCTGTCCTCCCGAGCACCCTGCCTGGACCCAGGCCCTCATGCACCCTGTGATGCTGGGCTGGTGTGGGGGAGGGGCGGGGGCCCCAGCCCAGAGCCCAGCCTCTGCCTCTACCTGCCCACCTAGCCCTCATCGTACCCCGTTTCCTCTCTCCCTTCATCCTGTGCAGGTGGCAGAAGGCTGGGGACACGGTTTAGGTCCAAGTGACCCAGGACACACCCATCTCAGCACAGGAGGCCTGGCCCGGGAGGGATGGGGCTCACAGCCTGTTGCGTCCCTCAGGCCTTCCCCCCACGGGGATGTGGGGCCCGGGCTTCCGAGGGGAGTCCCGTCAGGGGGCCGACGCCGCCCTGCCTGGGGAGGGCAGAGAAGGCTGGAGGACCTGCCGCTCCCCGGGCACATCCCCAGGCAGTCCGGCCGGCCCGCAGCCTCTGCCGCCGCGGGCCAGGGCACCGCTGCCCTCCTGCTGCCCACCACCCCAGTCAGCGCTCCAAGGAGCTCACCTGGTCGGAGCCCAGGTCAAGCTCACGCGGGCCTGGGGCCATGTCCCCGCCCTGTGGCTGGGGGTCCTGGGACTAAGACCAGAGAAGGCAGTTTGTGACACCCCGTGCCCCGCTGGCATCTCCTGCCACCCTGGGGTTCCCTGCAGGTACTGACCCAGGTCACAGCACACTTGGCGGTGCCCACGGCTCCCACTTCCCAGAGAGTTCCCAGGAGCAGCGCGGGCCAGGGCGGCCCCCGAGCCAAGCTCTGCCACCTCTCACAGGGAACAAGCCACCCAGGGGCCTGAGCCGCCGGAGCAAGTCCTCAGGGACGGCAACAGACCCAGATGGCCAGCCGGGCCCATGGCACTCAGTGGTGAGAGGGGCCCCGAGGCCCCCCAGGAGCTGGGCGCAGCACGGGCTGCAGCTGCCCCTCCCCCACCCTGCAGGCAGGCAGGCACTTTCTCCAGTGAAAGTGAACAGGTCAGCCTAGGCAGCCTCCTCACAGAGCTTTGTCCTGAGGGGGTTTTTATAGGGATTAAAGGAGACAAAGAACCTGAAAGCCCTTGGTAAAGGATAAAGTGCTAGATAAAAATAGCAGATCTTTATCAGCCAAACTTTTCCTTTTTACGGCCACCAACCACAGGGCAGCTGTTGGGGCTATGGGGGTGGGGGTGGGGTGGAAGGTGGGGAGTGTCAGGCTCACGTGCCTTCCTTCAGGAAAACCAGAGAGGTCAGCTTGTGAGAACTGCTTAGAAAAACAACACAGTCCGTGGGCTACAAGGGCCTGCCCCACAAAGTACACGGTCAAGGTGAGGCCTAACAGAGCTGCCTTTCTGCTTCTGGCTGCGTCAGGTGTTTCCAAGGGGAGAGGAGGAGGGAGAGGTGGTCAGAGGACAGAGGAGGGAGGAGGTGGGGCTTACATGGCCCTGCGGACCGTGAGTGGTGGCTGAAGTGGCTGAGGACAGCACCTCTAGCCAGCACCCCGACGCTGCCCTGTCTCATGTGCCTCTGTGGGGGTCACTGTGAAGGTTGCGCCCCCCCACCTTTCCCAGGTATGCAGTGGACAAACGGCTCCCCGTCCTGACTCTGCTGACACCTGCCAGTGCACACCCGGGGCTCACCCCTTGCTCCCCCGCCCCCACCCCGCGCTTCTCCAGCCTCTGGGGGCCAAAGCCTCAGAAGCACCATGGCCGAGCAGCAGTTGGAAGAAAAAGCAGAACCAGAGGCTGTCACAAGGCAGATGGGAAACTGCCGCTGCCTCCGATTCCAGATGAAAAGGGCCCACACAGGAGGGAGGGCCCCGAACCGTGCCCCACACTGACATTGCTCCCCAGTCTCAACAAGATGCAAGACCAAGGCTCGAATTCTAAAACCCCGGCCTGTTCTTTGCAGGCCCCCGGCATTGGGCACTGGGCGCTAGCAGCCGGGCAGAAGTCCCCGGGGAGCGCTGTTGGCCTGGGCCCCACCCTGGGGATCCCCTGCTGCCCAGCTCACTCGGGAAAGTGGCCCAGGGCCTGCTCCTGGAAGCCCCCGAGCTGCTTCATCTGTCACGCTGGAGACCCAGGAAAACGCAGCCCCCACATGGAGCAGTTACCCACAGCCGGGCACTTGGGGGCTTCCATTTGGAACGTAGGAAAATATTGCATACTGTTTCCATGGCAACTGGGCCTTCTGAGCCAAATGCCTGGCTGTGTACTCTTGTGGGGCACGTGAGCCAGACCTGCGGGGACCCTAGAGGGGCCTGGGCCTCTGCCTGCTGGCTGCACTCAGCCCCACAGTGGCCTCATTCAATGGCCAAGCACAGCCAGGGCCAAAACAGTCAGGGGGAGCCCGACCAAGTGGAGCAGTAACGCAGCAGACCCTCGCGGTCTCCCAGTTACCTTCCCTCGACGACGATGTCCAAATTAACAGCAAGAGGCTTCAGCTACAGTTGCAGGCTGTAGGAGGCGGCTATCAGGGACCCAGACCTCACTCCCTGCAGGCCAGGACCCGCGGCTGGCGGGAGGGCCGCCCCCCGTTCCGCACCTTCCCTTCCCAGACTGCAGATCATCCCAGAGTCAAGGGCACCGGTGTGTGTGCCCATGCATGTGCACGCACGTGTGGGAGTGTGTGTGAGAAGGCCTGGCAGGGCGGGGGGGAGAATGGGCAAATGCACGTGGCCCAACCGAGCACGCAGAGCTCTGTTCACACGTACAGACACCAGCTGGGTACACGTCCACAGGGGCTCACGGCTTTGCCAGCACTGAAACCCCATTCCTGTCACGCGCCCCAGGGGCGCCCAGGTGCAGGCGGGGAGGAAAAGGGTGGGGGTGGGGGGTGTGATGCCGCGAGGACACTCCCACACAGCCCTGTGCTCTCTGGGCCGGGCTAGGCGGATTCTCCCTTCCCTCCGGCTCCAGGCCTGACAGTTGAGGGGAGGACGTGAGGGCGAGAGAAAAGCTGGCTGCTGGGGGAGCGCTCCCTGGGGAGAGAGGTTGCAGATGCTGTGCGCTGCTGTGATTCTACCATAAACATTTTTCTTTTTCTTTTCTTTCTTTTTTTTTTGTCACTAAGAAAGACTCGTTCTCCCAGGCAATCTGCAGACAGCCTTGAACATGCAAGGCCAGGCCGGAAGGGATGGAAAAGAAAGCAGAAGCGTGGTGGCTGACAAAGCCCCTCTGGGAAGGCCCTGGGCAGGCCTGGAATAAGACAGCCCTGAGTCCCCACCCTGCCAGGGGGCAGGCCCTGGAGTAGGTCTGCCGTGTCAAAGTCCTTTCATCCCAGCTCTCGGGGCCTGTGGGTATTGGAGCCCGGAGCAGGGCGTGGCAGGAGAGCGCCAAGTCTGGCCGACCCACCGCCTGGCTGGCTGGCAGGGACCCTCCCCCAACCTCGGGGGAGTCCCAGCTCCCCCCTGCCAAGGGCCTGAGGCCAGGGCGCAGAAGGTGAAATCTGATTCTCAGGTATGCAGGCTGGGGAGGGAGCGACACAGGGGCCATTAATCAAAGGCAAAAGCCAAAGAGAAAATTACAGCGCTGAGAAGATGACTGTACTGAACGTGCTGCTTTCCTCTTGCAGCCCCCAAGCGTGCCCACACCTGCGCGTGCCTACGGGCGGACACAGGGCGGCTGTGGAGAGGGGCGGGGGCGGGGAGGTGCAGGGCTGGCCAAGTTCACTAACACACACATCTATCCTGAAGGTGCCAGACACGGACCCCCTCCTGGGCCCCCATTGCTCCCTCTTACCAGTTAAGAACAATGTGGCCAGAAGGTGCCAGGAGGGCGAGCTTCCCGGCCAGCCGCCCACCAGCCAGGCCGCTCATTAGCTCAGAGGCAAACACCACCCACGTGGGGCGAGTGGGGCGAGTGGGCCGTGGGCAGCCCCGCTGGGCCCCGCCCCGACCTGTCCCCGGACCACTGAGGCACTTCCTTCCAGTGGCAGGTCTGGGGACAAAATCCTCCTAGTGTTTCAGTGTTTGCTCAGAGCCAGGGAGAGCTGGCTCCGAGGGTGCTGCCGCCGCCTTCCCTGGCCCCCAGCCCCAGGCCCCCAGGCCTGCGCACTGGTCGAAAGTTTGTCCGTTTTGTCTTGTCGCAGCAGCCAGAGCGTGGCCAGCTGCTGAGAGGCATTCACAACTCCTATCTGTCCATCCTGGGGAGCTTCCTCGGCTCTGAACCTTATTGTTGAGTCCAGCTCGGCAACCAAGAATGGGTCTAGAGTCGCCCCCAGCCAGAAGAGACCTTCTGATAGGCTTTCCTCTGCACCCCCACCCGAGTGGCCCAAAGTCCAGATGACCCACCACGATGAAGCAGCTCCCAGGGCCTCCTCGCTGGCCTGCCTGTCCTACCGGCCTCTCCTTCAGGGCCCTAATAAATGGCCGATGCTGTGTCCTCGGCTACATCTGTGAGTGTTGGTGCCTGCTGTGCTCACTGCCAGGGCACTGGACGTGGGCACCGTGCCCACTGGCCAGGCGAGGCCGCAAGAGGCTCGCAGAAGTGAACTTCTCCCAGGACCCCACTCCAGCACAGCCAAGGTGGGACACCCAAGCCCCCGGGCCTCCGCAGCCATGAAAGTTCACTAAGACCTAGCACATCTGCGCTCAAGGTGTCGGGGTTAATCCTCCTCCTGGGCCCCTGAGGGGACCCTGCCCAGCGAGGTGGGGGGAGGGGAGGAGGCTTGCTCAGCGGGCTCAAGGCCACTAAAAAACGGCACCAGGAAGATGTGGGTATTTCCATTTCACACTGGGTGCGAAGGAAGAGAGGGCGCTCCCGTTTGGAGCCAGAGGCTGGGTGTCAGTTCCTGCCAAGGCGATGCTGGCACTGCCACAGGCCTGCCTGACACCACCGGCAGGCTGCTCCGGGGGGATGTGCCGCTTCTGCAGATTTCGCGGGGCCTGCTGATGGAGTTTGATTACATCCTCCCGTCGTCTGGCTGGCCCTCCCTCCTGCCCGAATCCCACGGCTCCGAGGCAGGGCCTGTTTTCCAGGCCAGGCAGCTGGGAGAAGGGGCAAGAAGGCTGCCTTGGGCCCCTCCTCCCTGCCCCCTCCCAGCTTGAGCAGAGTCGGGAAGGAGACTTGAGAAGCACCCCTTGCACACTTTTAAAGCTGCAGACCACTCTTCAACTATGGAGTGCTGCTCCCCATCCAAGCATCAGATGAAGATGGAGTTGCTCTGGGAGAGGGGCTCACAGCAAGCCCCCAACCGAGCCCCAGGCAGTCGCTGGGCTGGGCTGGTGCTGCCGGGACCACAGCAGGGCAGAGGAGCTCATCCACACTCCTCGCAGGCCGCACTCTGGGTGTGACACCCAAGTCTGAGGCCCCTCTCCAGAGTCCCCTCTTGCAAGGCACTGGTGTTCCCTTGCAGCTTCCCTCATGCCCGCCGCCGGCAGCGGGGGAGGTGTATCTGAGCCATAAACTTGGGGAGGGCCTTGGCGCTGAGGGAGACTCCTCAGAAGCCAGCCTCAGGGAGAGGGAGGGAGTGGACAAAGGCTTTTCTTCGAAGTCCTGTCTCGATGGAGGCTGGGGGACCTTGGTGCTCCCCAAGATTGTCGTGGGCGACACTGCGTAAACACCTTTGACGGGACACTAAAAAGCCGGCTGGCAGCTCTGCCCCCATCGCCTCCCGGCCCGCGCCACGCGTCCTGTCCCCTCCGGGCCCTTCCCCGGTCAGACTTCTCGCTGCTCAGTTTTCCACCGCGGAAATGCCTTCTCTCCCCAGGCCCCTGGCAGCGGGAGGCGGAGGAGGGCGCCCGAGGGGCGGGGTGCACCGAGGCCCGCCCCTACAAAGCGAGCCCGGGATGCGGGAGGACACCCGCGCCCTGCCGGAGCCTCCCCGCGGGTGGAGGGGGGCAGCGCGAGCGAAAGCCAGGTGAAAAACGAAGAGGGGACACGGAGTGGGTGGGATCCGGGCGCCCAGCCTCGGAACCCCAAACCTCGAAACCCAGACGTGAGGCTCGGCGGGTTCTGGTTTATTTCCACTTCATCTTTCAACACTTCCTGTTCCACCAGTTCAGGTGTAGAGCAGCAGCAAGTCGTCCGCCCCAGGCAGCCCCCGTTTGGGACGAAATCAACCGTCCCTCTCCCAACGTTGGCACCAGACCTCCCCTTTCCCCGCCCTCCCCCCCCACCTCCCGTCACGACCCACCGCCCTACTTTAGAGAAACTACGTTCAACCTTCCTCCCATCCCCCACCTGAGGACTCGCCTCTCGGCCCCTCCCCCTTGATTGGAACCAGACGCAAACCCCCACCATCAACGTTCCTCGAACTTCTTCGGCCCAGCCCCCTCCCTTTATTTTGGGGCTAGGCTCCTAGGGCCGCTACACTTTTGGGAGAGCCCTCGAGCACTTCCCCACCTGAGGACTCGCGCCCTCCACCTCCCACATATCGGACTTTGGGGTTCGGCTGCCGCTTTAGGACCCAAGCCCCCTCCCCACTTTGCGATGCATGACCCATGCCTGACTCCCACCCCGGCTCCGCTAACGGCTCCGGGGCCCCGATGCGTCTGCCGTGGTCCCCCTCCTGAGCCCCCAGCCCCTCTCACCCGAGCCGGCGTCAGCAGGATCTCAGCGGCCGGGCCAGGCGCCGGGGCCGAGGCCGAGGCCGAGGCCGAAGCCGAAGCCTTGTCGGCCTTGTCGCCCTTGATGCCGGCCACGGCCGGCTGGAAGCTGATCTTCACCATGGCTGCGCCGGGCCGCGGGTCCACCCTGCAGCCTCTGCCGGTGCAGCCTCTCTGTGCAGCCGCGCTCCGCTCTCTGCAGGCACCGGAAGTTTGGATCTCGCTCGCGTCCCTTTCTCTAACCCCACCTCCAGCCCCCACGCTACCGCCCCCAACAGGGGATGCTTTGGCACCCGCTGCGCCTGCGCCCCCTTCCCGCCCGCTGGGTGCGCAGTGACCCCTGCCGGGCGTCGAGCTCCGACCCGGAGAGGACTGAGGTTCATTCGTTCACTCACTCACTCACTCACTCACTCACTCCATTCTTCCATCTTCCTTCCCTCCTTCCCTCCTTCCTTCCTTCCCTCCCTTCCTTCCTTCCTTCCTTCCTTCCATCTCTCCCACCCTCCCTCCCTCCCTCCCTCCCTCCCTCCATCCAATCATGCATGGACTCAGCCCCCTCCCAAGCCTTATCCCTTACAGCTCCCTCTCCAAGACCGAGTCCCCAGAACACACAGTCTGTTAAAACTGTGTTTGCCGGGCAATGTAGCTTTGAGACAAGTTCCCAGACTCACTGCCCGCTGTGGCACTTCATACCCTCCTCTTTGCAAACTGGGGGCCTTCACTGTACCTGCTCCCAGCTCCCTGCTCCAGCTTCTCCCCTGTCCTGGGCCCTGGGAGGAGGCTTTGGGGCCAGGCACCCACCTGCTTGCCTGCGTCCTGCATCTTGCATTCATCCACACCTCCCACCCTTTTCATCCTTCACGTCTGCAGAACCCTGATGAGGGTCTGTGGGGCACACGCCAAGGATGCTGGGAGGAGAGGAGTGAAGGCAGCCTGCAAAGTGTGGTGGGAAGGGCCACAGGCCAGTTGTCCTTAGGCTTGGTTTCCAACTGAGGCTCTGCTCCTGCAAAACATCCAGGGATATTAGGGAGGAGCAGCAGCAGTGTCTTCTTAGGTAGCTCTTGGCACCAAAGCCTGGAGTCAAATCCCCTGGTTCCTCCCAGGCTGGGCTGGGGACAAGGCCCAGCAAACCACACACAACCTTGGGCTGACAACTTTGGTTGTGCAGTTGGAAAGGCAGAGGGGCCTGAGCGCTTTTTGAGGACAGTCTAGTATTCCACTGACACCTCCTGCTGGCTGTGTCTTGGCTGGTGGCCTTGAGCCCTGGGTTCCTATGTCCCAGATCCAACATCCTAGCTCAGGTCTTGGATGAACCTAGTAGCCTTGAGAAGGGACAAATCCAGAAGGAAGAAGGTCTAACTGATGGGAAGGCCACTGGCTGGGGGTGGGGGGGGGATGGGAGACGGAAGAAGGTTTGGAGGTGGCCAAGGGGAATGTGGCCTGGGTGAGGACCAGGGAGGAGGTGCTCTTGGCCTCTGAGGTGAACCTTAGTTGTGGAGGAGCTAAGCTCCCAACCCTCGGTTAGATCCCCACCCTGTGCCCCCAACATTTCTTCCTCTACTCAGAGCATGTTTTCCAAGTGACCCTCCGTGCCAAGCATGTGTTAAGTCTTGTGGCAGAAAGACCCAAGACCCCACCCAGCACCCAAGGGCCTGATTGCGTTTATCTGTCCATCTACCAGGTTCTTTCCTGCGCACGTTCCCCTCTCATTTTCATCCCAGCCCCTGAGCCCCTGAGACCTTCCAGGCCCCCCTGTCGGTGGCAGAAACGAGGGGGACTAAACGCAGGGTCACGGAGCCAGCAGGGGGCAGCTCTCTGGTGAGCAAGGCAGGGCCATCTGGCTGCAGCATCCCTGCTCCTAAGCTTGGCACACGTGAACCTGCCTCCTCCGGAAGGCCTTCTCTGAGTTCTCTGGCCTGGGTTAAGTCCCTCTGCCTCGTGTGCCCCCAGCACCGTGTGTACCTTTCCTTATCCTTGACCTTGGGCCCCGTACCCGCCAAGTGCCCCGCCCACGACCTACTGCAGTGATTCCTAAACTTTCTAGTCTCGGGACCTTAAAGAGCTTTGATTTACGTGGGTTATGTCTATCAACGTTTACTAATTAGGAATAAAACGCAGAAGAAAAATTTAAAACGCAAGAATACACCTATTTCATTAGCTGTCAAAGGAATGCCACCAAAGGCTGCGTAGCTTCTAGAAAATTCCACTGATTTTCTAGAAAGAGAAAAAGGTTGAAAAGGAAAATGATATCTTAGTATTAGTGCAAAAGTAGTTTTGACCTTGCAGACTCTGAGGCGGGTCCTGAGGACGAGCGGGGCTTCTGGATCACAGGGAACTGCTGCTCTGGGCAATGCTCAGGACTCCAGAGGCCGCGGGTTCCGAGATACACAGTTTTTCATATGTTAACAGCTCTGAAATCAAGACTTTTTTTACAATTAAATTAGCAGTGATTTTTTCCCTGAGACCTAAAGCAACCATGTGTCTTACAATACACAGTCCTCGAGCCGATGGAACGCGGTATCCCCAGTCAATAACCCACGGGGGTGCTGGAGGCAGCATGAGGTTAACACCACACACTGAGTTTTGTGGGTTCAGGTAAGAAGAATAGCAGAGTGAACTTGGGGGTTGGGGGGAGCAGCCAAGGCCCCCTGGAAGATGCCAGACGGAGGGGGGAGCTGGAAAGGTAGACGGGGTGCGGGTGGGTGGCAGGGACGCGAGAGGCATCCCGGGCGGGGGAAGAGCATGCTGGGCTGGGTGCCCTTGCCCAGCATTTCAGCCACAGCCAGTCCTTGTCCTCTGTCCTTTTACCCAAGCGACCAGCGCCTCCTTCCACCTCCCTGGTCCCAGGGCCTGCTCAGGTGCTGCTGGGGAAGGTGACACCATCTTGCTCTTTGGACCCACCGGGCCACCTCCTCTTCTGGGCAGCCCCTGTGAATGGTGGCCCTCAGAGCTAAGCAGCCAGTGAGTGTGGCCTCATTCTCAAAGTCACCCTCAAGGGGAGGACCCTGCCCAGCAGCACCGGCAGCACCTGGGAACTCGTTAGAAAGACAGACGACCTTATGCATGAACTCGGGGAATGCTCTGTGTTTTAACAAGTCCTCAGGGGTTCCGTGCGCTCAAGGACTACGGCGCTCCTCAGCTCCGTCCACGCACCCACGACCTTCCTGGCCTCTCCAGACCGCCGGCCCCTCAGCAGCTGAGCTCGGCTTTCTTCAGAGAGGAAGCGGTCCTGTGAGAACCCCCTCAGGCCGGGGGCAGATCCTCCCCCACCAGCAGCTGCCCCGTGGCTACTGTGGTTCCTCCTGGCCCCTCAGGTTGGAGGAGGCATCTGTCGGCCTTTGCTCCCCTCCCAGACCCATTCCACCTTCTGGGTGAAGACTCCACCCCTCCCATCAGTGCAGATACCTTGAGGCCTCAGTCATCGCCCATCCCCAAGCCAGCAGGGCCCTCTCCTCCGGCCCCAGGCCTCCCTTCCTTCCTATCAGCTCTGAAACATGCTTGCATTAACCTGGGAAGAAAATAAAACACTTCCTTTGACCCCTTGTCCCCTGCATTTGTTACCCACCCTATTTTTCTCATTTTCTTCTTGGGCAAAGTTCTAGAAAATTCTGTCTCCATTTTCTCATTCCTACCCACATTCATCCCAGCTGGATCTGGCTTCTGTCCTCACAGCTCCACCAGGTTCTTAGTCCTCCTCTCCCTCGGGATGTCGAAGGGCTGCGGGGCCACGCCCTCGCCTGTGGCTCTTCCCCTCCCCCATCAACCAAGTCGAGGAGGAGGGTTGGACCCCGGGGGAAGGTCTCCTGGAATCAGCTCCTGTGACCATTCATTTTAAAACCCAAACCCCAAATGTGAACTTTTACATGGGTTTACCTCTTTCCAAACCGAGTAGTTGAGTGCTGTTCTTAAAGGATAGCTGGTTTATTGCAATGTAAAGCGCTGGTTGTTTGAGACTTGAGGTTGTGATTAAGCCGTGGGTGGTCAGTTGGCTGGCCTGAGGGAAATGCAGGGATCTCAGGCCAGGGCAGAGCCACCGCCCTCAGAGTTTTGTCCGCTCCCCAGCGCTTAGTTCATCTTGTAACTTCAAGTTTGTACCCTCCGACCGACATCTCATCTCCTCGTTCCACCAGCCTGTGGCAACCACCATTCTACACTCTCTTTCCGTGAGTTCAACTGCTTTGGATCCCACATATAAATGAGATAATACAGCATCTGTCTTTCTTTGCCTGGGTAATCCCACTTAATATGCTATCCTTCAGGTGCATCCATGTTGTCACAAACGGAAGGATTTTCTTCTTTCTTATGGTGGAATAAGTACCCCGCTGTGTACACACAACTCCACGTTTTCTTTATCCAATCATCTGCCAGGGGACACAGGCTGTTCCATGCCTTGGCTGCTGTGAACAATGCCGCAATGATCTTGGGACTGCACGTGCCTTTTCAAGATATAGATTTTATTTACTTTACATGTAGTATACCCAGTAGTGGAATTGCTGGGTCCGATGGTAGCTTTATTTTTAAATTTTTGAGGAACTCCCATACTGTTTCCCATAATGGCTGTACCTGAGAAATACATTGAAGAGAGAGTTCCTCTAAAAAAAATCAGTAGAATAGACAAATCTCTGGAAAAATCTAACAACTAAGAGAGAAAACATTAATATGAGAAAAGATATAGAGAAGGTAGATATTACAAATTATAATGTATTATATACAGTCATATATAATAAATATGAATATTCCAAAGTGGATGATTTTTATGGAAAAGTATAAATGGCCAAAACGGACTCAAGAAGGAGTGGAAAATCAAAATGCCCTATAATCAAGGAAATTACCGAAAAGACTTCTCAAGCAATTATCTCAAAAAATGGCTCTGAATAGTTCTTTCAAACTAAAGGGACAGCTGGTTCCATGGATGCTTCAGTTAGTGTTAGGCATAGATTATATATTCCAACACAAAAATCTGACAAATAAAAGAGAGAAACAATGTCAGTTATGAATAGAAATACAAAAATTCAATGGTACATCAGAAGAACAGCAAAGTGCCAACAGGTAGAACCTCTAAGAATAAAGACACAGATTTCAGATTTGAAAATCTATTGGGGAGGAAATTCCTTGGTAAAATAATGCTTAAAAGTAATAGCTATTCAAACTTGAAAAGAATGGAGCAAATAAAACAAATATTATGACAACACCCACAAAAACCAGTGTTAATACTTTGTTGTATTTTCTCCAAAGATTTTTTACTGTGTATATGAATATGTGTGTGTTGTGTTCCCTCCCCCCCCCCCCCCCCCCCCAAATAACCTGGGACAACAGTGCGTGTAGCCTGATCTAGGGGAGATTTTGACCTTCAGGCAACATTTTGCATGTTTGCCACA